GAGGGAATCGCAGTGTGGCTTATGGGGGGTGTGAAGTGATGAAAAAGGAAAGGGAAATACAACAGGTAAGAACTCAGAATAAGATCACATATGCAGAAGCTGTGATGATGGTGAATCCAAGAGAAGGAAAAAATGAAAGAAACAGAGTGGAGAATCAAATCTCAAAAGGAGTAGAACAGGTAAATAAAGAAAAAGTATTGGCTGACTTAAAGAAACTAGTTATTTTCATTGCAGGGGTAGTTAATGCCACAATGGAGATTAAATCTAAAACAGAAAGAATACAAATAATTGTGAAGGCAGCAGTACATCATCTAAATATCCGTGGGCTGACATGGGAGGAAGTAAGAAATGACCTCAGTGCTCAGGCAAGCCAGGATCAACCATGGGTTGGATAATAGTAATAATGATCCTCTTGAGAAGTTTGTTGGCAAATGGACAAGAATTTTAAAAATATATAGAAGAGCTTTCTAGCAAGCCCAGTGTTATTTGTGTTCAGGAGACATGGTTGAGGCCAAATTTAGATTTTAGACTAGGTGGATATGATTGTGTTAGGTGTGATAGGAGGAAAAAATATATAGAAGAGCTTTCTAGCAAACCCAGTGTTATTTGTGTTCAGGAGACATGGTTGAGACCAAATTTAGATTTTAGACTAGGTGGATATGATTGTGATAGGTGTGATAGGAGGGAAGGAGTAGGGGGTGGGTGTGTTACATTTATTAGAGAAGATATTGCATTTAGAGAGATAGGAATAGGAAATGAGCATGAATACATAGTCATAGAGATCTTGATGAAGGAAGGAGAGCTCATAATTATTAATTATTATAATCCTTGTAAGAAATTAGATCTGAATGGGTTAATGCAAATTGAAGGAATAGATGGAAATAAGAGAGTGATATGTGGGGATTTTAACGCGCACACTACATTATGGGGAGGAACAAAAACGGATGTAAATGGAGGGGTGATTGAACAACTGTTAGAGGAAAAGGACTTGGTTTGTTTAAATGATGGGAGAAGGACCAGACTGGATGTACACACAGGGAATATGTCAGTATTGGATTTAACTTTGGTGTCAAATAATTTAGCAGGGATATGTGAGTGGGATGTCATTTATGAAACATCAGTGGGGAGTGATCATTATCCAGTTTTTTGTAGAATATTAATACAGGAAAATAAACAACGAGAGAAAAGAATAGGGAAGTGGATATTTAAC